GTGGTGTCTGTTCTGATCTGTGCTATTACAGCAAGTGCGCTAGTGCCGCACTTTGGTGCGGCAATGCCGCACCCAGCTGCAACAGCAAACCATGTTGTGCATAAACTGTCATTTGCATCACGTTTTACATATCTGATACAGTATGCAGCACCCCACAGGAGCATGAAAGTAGGGGGAGCCCCATCACTTTCATTAAAATGTGAATCTTGGCTTCTTATGCTAATTTGAGAATTCAATTCTCTATTCACATACTTAGGGGTTGGCTCTACACCCATGGCTCGAAAATCTTAGTATTTATTTCATATCTTTTGTAAGCTCTAATTGGGTTGTCATCAATCACCAAAAAGGGGAGATTGAAAGTGCAATCAAGCCCTAATTGTGGGTTTTGGTGATAATGACCATGCAATTAGAGAACTAATGAGATTTATCGAGATGACAAGCAGGAAATTCATGTTCGAGGATGCTACACGAAACAGAGAAGCCCCCAATTATAAATGTAGATGGCTTCAAACTCAAAGAAGGTTTAAATTCTTTTATATTTTGAATTTGAGTATAGGAAAAGCCATACTATAAAGGGGGACACAATGCTTAAGTTAATATGTGCTACCAAGTGCTCAAACAAACACATGCATCCTTAAATTCACAGCCAAGACAGTCTACACTTCACTCTTACCCTTGTTGTCTTGCATGGTGCGGCACTGCCGCACTTGAGCCGCGGCACTATCATGACTTAAATGACCTTTGGGGGGTGGGGGTATTTATATCCTTCCCCTTCCTTCCCAATGGAACTCTGCCTCTTCTTCCAAAAATAGATTAGAGAGCTCTCTCTCTCTCTCTCTTTCCCTCCATTGTTGACCTCAAGCCCCCAAGCAAATCCATTGATTTCCCCATCAATCCTTGAGGAAAAGGGTCCAAAACTCGATTAGAGAGCAGCTCCATTGATTCCCCAACTCTAAAGAGCACTTGGTTCACGTTTTGGCCGGCGGTTGTGTTTGTTACTCTTAGAGCTTGGCTCCTAGCTGGCTAGAGCGTTGCCCGTGGAGCTTGCCAACTTGTGTGGTAGCCCCGAAAGGTTTGTAACCATCTCTTAAAGCTAGTAAACTCACTCCTCATCTCAAGAGTTAAGACTCTTGACTTGAGAATGAGGAAGGGATGGAAAGCCCTATGCCTTAGTGGCTAACCTCAACAACGTGGAGGTAGGCAAGCCTTGGTGACGAGCCAAACCACAGGATAAATCATTGTGTCACTTGTCCTTGATTTACATTACTTGCATGACATATTGTGGTTGAGGTGATTTCTAGGGTTTCTAGTTGATCTACTTGTGTGTGGTGTTCCTACTACTTCTAGCTCTTGATATGTGATTGTCATACCTGCAGTAACCTAGGAAATTTCTCCGATCTAAGTTTTCGTTCTTGGATTTTGAACTGCTCGAAGTTGTCTGCAGGTACGGCAATGCCGCTATTCTGGCCCGGCAGTGCCGCAGTCCGGCAGTGCCGCCCTCTAGAGCGGCAGTGCCGCAGGGTGAATTTGATAAAAGTTGGAGTGTTTGTTTTGACAGGCCTATTCACCCCCCCCCCTCTAGGCCAACCAGAGATCCTACAGTCTCAAGCTGCTCAGTCTGCCCTCGGTCCTATAAATAGGGACCATCCTGCCGTTTGAACCACCTTTGAACATGTCTACGTATTTAGCATTTTTGAAAGGCTGAGTTTGAAAGAGGTGAAAGGAGAGAATTCAAGAGAGAACGTGAGGTTCTAAGCATGCGACCCGTTGAGGGTCGTTTGTGGTGGCCAAAAGCTGGTGGTGCCCCTTCCAACAGCTAGTGCTAGAAGGGGACTTGCGAGCAGGGGAGGATTGAGGTGGTGCTCGGGCCAGCCACTGGGCCTCGTGATTCTAGAGCTTCCCCAAACCCATAGGTTTCGGGTCGCTAGAACACGAGCATCAAGGACTAAAACTAGCTTCTCTCGGAACCCATAGATAGTTTTCGTGAGCTGCCTTGGGTTCGGGGGAGGCGTTGCCATGCCTTGGTTTCCCCATCATGCTTTCGAAGCATGATGGTGGTGGCCCGTGGGCTTGGTCGCGCCCCATCCTTTCCCCGTGCGTCTCTGCCCTAGAGGTTGTGGTGCTACAAGAAGGGATGTGAGGCGATTTCTCGTCTCTTCCCTTTCGTACTTGCAGCAGGCGCCTTTGGGGATCCCGACGATGCTGCCTTGGTGATGGCGTCGTGGTTCAGTACTTTACAAGCGGCTCCACCGCTCTTGTACTTATGAAAGTCGGGTGAAAAGAACAATCTTTTCTATGTGTTTGGGTTCCCCTTGTGATTGCGGCAAGCCCTCGAGCTATGGGATTGGGGTTGCGCTTTCAGTCTAGAGTCACCGTAAGGGCTGTTTTGCCTTGATGAAATGAGGAATCGTTTCCCCGTCCTCTTTTTGCGCGGTCATGAGGTTTTCTGCGATCATGTGCCGGCTCGTCGGTCTTGGACCTCCTTGTTTCTTCCACATGCTCGAGCTATGATCACGCTTTGGGATCCGCATCACTTCACGAGGAAGACACTGCTGCATCACCCTGATCGTCTGCTTTGTGGATCTCGCCCGGAGAGGTTTGTGAGTCCCCGGAGCTAGCCTTAGGTCTTGGACCTGGGACACAAGGAGGAGTTGGTTGAGGCTTGGCCTTGACTCCTTACGGGGTCGTGGGGACTCGACTCCATTTTTCGCTGGCGTCGTCCTTGCCGACCTCGAGAGGTCATGTTGTCCTATTATAGGCAGGTTTGTTTTCGCCCCACGCAGGGAGAGGCATGTCCACCGTAACCACGTGGTCAGAGCGGTGCACCTCGTCTGGGTCGATGGACAATTCGAGTGGGACCCGATATCCTCCCTAATCGACGTGGAGTTCGGCTATGCCTCATCGAGAGACCTCCCATAAATCGTCGGCCGTCAAACCCATCGGTCCCCAACCACCTCCGCAGCGGTCAGAGGGCAAGATGCCTCCCCCAGAGAGGGTCAACCCGGACGACTTCAAAGCGAACGACTCACACATAGAGAGAGATGGCCGTGTGGCTCCGAAACCACCGATTAGAGCCGCAGGGGCCCATCTCACCCTGCCCCTATTCCTTTGTGGCCTCGAGCCCTTCTAAGGGCCAGCCCAAGAGTGGGTTTCCTAAGCACGACGCGGGTCGTGGTTGCGGTGGGTCGTTCCGCGCATGATCTCGGGGGGCGGTTGGCCTCCCCAGTCACGTCGTGGTATAATAGCGCCCACTCGTGAGCAGTCGTGCGTCGTGGAACATGGGCGCGTAAATCGAAATGATATGGAAAGAGTTGGAATGCGCAAGGCTTACTTGGCTCGCGCCGCTGCGCGGGCAACCGTCGTTTCACCTTGCCTCCAATCGCTTCACCTATAGCGGAGAGGTGCTGCACGGACCTGGTCTGCATCACATATGCATAGAATTTTTTTCCCGGGAAAAGAACACAGAAAGTTGAGGAACACGTGTCAGTTGCCTACAGGTTGTCGCACGGGAGCGCGGTGCGACGCCGTCGCATAGAAAAATTTTCCCACCCAAATAGTCGCTTGCAGGCATCTCGACTCTTCTTCCTTCTTCGTTCTACGATGTAGCAGCAAAAAGGGCAACGCTCAGGTTTGGTGCATTCTGCTGGTTCCCTGCACTACTTCCGGTAGTCTTCCTGGCTCCTGAGATGCAGTGAACCAGGATCTGAAGTCCGATTGTATATACCCTCCTAATAAGTAGCTTTATGTAAGTTAGAGTTAGTTCTAACCATGGTAGTGCATATGCAATGTTTCTATGGGATTTCTATTCTCTTCCCCTGCTTCTACGGTTAGGATGATGTGGCATCTATCGTCCTCTTCAACGGAGCAGCAATGAGATGTGGTTAAGATCACTTTTCGCTCTGCCAGTTTCCGTTGGTACTCGGTCGTGTTGCTCATCCTTCTTCAAAAGAGGAAATGTTTTTTTTTTCTCACATATGGCGAGGTTGCCTTTGTTCGTTCGGTGGTTTTGGCGCGTCGCGATTTTGAGGAGCTGCTCGTAGTGGCTTCAAAAATTGTGATGGCCCTTCATCACTGTATCTCGTCATCTGAGGATGCCTAAGCTTCGGTTCGTCATGGAAGAGGAAGAACATGGGTGTTGATGCTGTGGTAGCACCAATGCAATTTTCTTTTTATCAGGTTCCTATACGTAACTTGTACTCGTTATGGATACCAATGAATAAGGAGGTGTTTGGATCCAGTGACTAAAATTTAGGAGGTGTCACATGAGGGTGTTGCATAGGCCGGGTGTTCAGATACTAATAAAAAAACAAATTACAGAATCCGTCAGTAATTCATGAGACGAATTTATTAAGCCTAATTAATCCGTTATTAGCATATGGTTACTGTAGCATCACATTGTCAAATCATGGCCTAATTAGGCTTAAAAGATTCGTCTCGTAAATTAGTCGTAAACTGTGCAATTAATTTCGTAATTAGTCTATATTTAATACTCTATGCATGTGTCCAAACATCTGATGGGACAGCGACTAAAGTTTAGAAGGAGAAATCAAACACCCCCTAAAACCATCCCTTTAAAAAAAGCAATGACCGAAATAAAACCCTAGTATCAAAAAAGAAAACACAGTTTAAAGTGTTATAAACACCAGCCCGCCAGCCGCTATCAACCGACTTCATAGTCATTGGATCAAACCAACATGGAATTCTTAAAAATTTCACACATACTTATTCCATTCTTGTGTATATTACATTTACATCCATGATACTACATCCCTCGCAGCTCAAACTTCATATGTTACACAAATATAGAGCAAACCAACTAAGAGCAATTAGTATATATGATTACATACGAGCAAGCAACTAACCAAGCATCATACATAAATTAAACAACTTCAACTACATCGAAACCCGTGGCAACCTAACCAAGCATCATACATAAATTAACCAACTTCAACTGCATCAAAACCCGTGGCTCGTATTTATGTAGCTAGCCAACTCGATCATCAGTTGTCGAGCAGGATGGCCTCTAGAACCCTGACGAACTCCTTAGGCGCGGTGAGCTGAGGGAAGTGGCCGGAGGACTCGATCACCACCGTGTCCGCCCCGCTGCCGCCGCCGCACCCTGCCACGGCGCGCTGCATGTACCGCGCGACGGCGAGCGGCGCCACGGCGTCGTGGGTGCAGTGCACGATGGTGCAGCGCGCCACGACGTCTGGGAGCACGCCTCGGAAGTCGGATGTGAGCACGGCGCGCAGGACGCCGAGCGCGGCGTCCGGGCGCATCTCCCCGAGCTGCTTGGCGAACATGGCGACGGCGGCCGGGTGGTCCGCCCCGACGACGGCCTCGGCGAAGCGCGGCGCCCACGCCGCGAAGTCCGCGTCGACGGCGGCGAGCATCGCGTCCACGTCCCCGCGCTCGAACCCGCCCTCGTAGCCATCCTCGTTGATGTACCTATACGAAAGTACAAAAAAGTGCAGTCTGTTATTAACCCTACTATAACCGTTTGTTAGGAGAAACCTATATATGGCAGGTTGTTTGGTCCGTTGACAACTTGACATGCTCAAGTTTGGGGTTCAAAATAATGCTGATTAAGTATTCGAGATAGTGACCGCGGAGACATACATATACATCCTTGTTTGGCGTACTACATAGTATATAGCTCAAAATGATGACCTGATTTGAAATATCGTAGACACCAACTAATGGATGATTGAATAGTATTATATGTGAGAGAGAATAAGCTGAAACAAACTGAAACAATCCAAGACCGTACCAGCCGAACACGCCTGTCCATATGCACTAATACTGTATAACATGGAAAATATCCATTTATTAGCCAGAACAATCCAGTTTGTATGCTTTGCAAAAATTTCAGTTCAGTTAATTTATAACTAAAAAATTTCAAATTAGTCCAATCCCAGTCCTTTTACAAAAAAAAATCTCCATATACAAATTGAGTTCACAATTTAATACCATTTTAGAGGCGACCGGACACCTGCCTCTACAAATCACCGATTTGTAGAGGTGAAAAAAGTACCGCCTCTATAGAGGAATCCCAACTAAAATCTATAGTAGCGGATATCGTATGTTAGAAAAAGAAAACTTTAAGAATTGGTTACCATTATTTTTAGCTCTCAATCATCACACACACAATTCAAACTTAAAAAACTCAACTCGTGAAGAAACAAAAAAGATAAATTTAATTTGTTATTAGGGGTAGATTTCACTAACTAAAATTGTTTTAGGGGGTCAATTGAGCCAAGTTTTTTTGGGTTAGGTGGAGAAATTGAATTGTTCTTGTAAGTAACATGGAAATTTAATTTTATACAAAAATACAAGAGTCTAGCTAGGTTCACCAATGATGACATGTAAGGATTAGATGAGATCAAACCCTCCGCGCGCTCCAGTGACTAGAAACCGGCCGGGTTAGATTTACGTGCGTGGTTATAACAAACATAAATAATATATGCTTATTAGGTCAAGCCAATCAAGGTCCTAGCTTGACGAAAGTTTTGCAAACATGCATGGTTTCTTCCAAGTTCCAAGTGTCATCTGGTGGTCTCGACCGGCGGCGTACCTTGGCGACGCTCCGACGAGCACGAGGTGGCTGAACAGGTCCCGGCGCGCGACGGACGCAATGCAACCAATCATGCCGGCCATGGAGTGCCCGACGAACGCCGCCCGGCGCACCCCCAGCTCGTCCATGAGCGCCACGAGCTCGTCCGCGAGCGCGTAGTACGAGGAGCAGTACCGCTCGCCACCACCGCCAGCGGCGGCAGCGCCGGAGAAGCTCCAGTCGAAGACGACGACGCGGAACCTCGCCGCCAGCGCCGGGACGACGTCGTCCCAGACGAACCGGGTGCCGCCGTACCCGTGCGCCAGCACCACCGTCTCCCCGCCGTCGTTGCCCAACACCCTCGCGTTCATCTTGTTCCTAGTGACAGCAGGAAAGCTTACCTAGCTTAGCTACGACTAAGACAGCTACACAGTTTGCTAGCTGCTTCTCTGCTGTGGCGATCGATGAGGAGGCACGGGTGAGCTACGTTTCATGTCAATTTATAGCGAGAGATCGAAGGCACTTAGATAAGATCGAGCGGAGAGATCGACAGCGAGATGAAGATGGAAGCGATGAAGGGCTGCACTGCACAGTTGCACATTGAGAGGACGGAATTGTATAAGGAGAGAGAGGGACGTGGACAGCTGCATGAGCCACCGGGGTGGCAACAAAGGGTGTCACAAGAGGAGCCTGCATGTCTCTCATCACCAACTGCTGATGTTGCCCACCGGCCTCCTCGTGTCCACATCAGCCATGACGCCGAGCAGAAAAAGGTGTTGCTTGGCGCCTTGCGCCGCGTGACTGCGACCCGGCCGGGGCAGATTCCCATCCGCGCCAGGGCTAGGGCTTCGGATGGTCCGCTTTTGTCGTAGCTCAAGTGTGTTTGGTTCATACTTTTTTTAAGGAGAAGTTCTCGATCTGCTTAATTAAAGTGTGTTTAGTTTAAAGGAGCATCATGTGTGTAGTGTTGCTAGCTAGTTTGCATTAGTTTGGGCACAAATTAAGTGGCCTTAGAATAGAACACGAAATTATTACACAATCCCAACCGTCTAAACTTTTATATCAAAGCGCTGGCCTATACAATTTCTTCTTCTTCTTTATCAATGATGATGAAATTCAAATCAGCGTTATCGCACCCGTTCATTAAAAAAAACTGACCTATAATTTCCAAAGGAAGCTGGTATCCATGGTCGAGCAGATCAAGCTTATTATGATTCCCCTAATCGAAGCACTCAAAATACAAGTTTTAATAACTCGGTCAGAAAAAAAAAAGAGTACACCTTGCTCTGATATTATATATTTTTATATTTGTAGCTTAAGCTGATGAAATAAATTAAACAAAATGCCTAGCTAATATATAGTTTCAAGGACATAGAATCTCAGAGATGATGAAAGCAAATAAAAATATAATAAATAGGTAAAATGGAGAACACAATGACATCGGTCATTTCAGTGTCAGGAGCCGAATATACAAACTGCAACACAGATTGGCAAGTTATTGTTTTTTTTTAATTTTTCTTAAACAAAAGATCAGCCTCCTCCATATATAATTTTAAGTTATAAGAGCATCTCTGAATAGTTGGGCGGCCAAAATCTAAGTGCAAACTCTTCGAAACGACGTTATTATCGCATCCAATGATATGGTATCTCCGTCTGCTACTTGTCTGGAAACAATGGATTATCATAATCAAAACAATGTCATTGTCTTGCCGTTATTTACTCAAACATAAAGTTCTATGTTGCTTGATTCAATTAGTTTACATACTATTGAATCATCACCTGATCAAAGGACTGTGTAAACACATGTATGCTGGCTACTTAAATCCAAAGAAATCAGGCCGGACAATACGAACTTGATGTTTGCCAGATTTTGTGTTAGTGCCTGTTTAGTTCCCAAAATTTTGCAAAATTCAAGATTTCCCGTCACATCGAATCTTTGGACGCATGCATGAAGCATTAAATATAAATAAAAAATAAAACTAATTACACAGTTTAGACGAAATTTACAAGATGAATCTTTTAAGCCTAATTAGACTATGATTGGACATTAATTATCAAATAACAACGAAAGTGCTACAATACTATTTCTCAAAAAAATTCGTCAACTAAACAAGGCCTTAGTGCAAGCATACAGTATCGGAAATGGTCAGCCATGCCTGCATGCATGTTCTAGAATCTATCTATTTCAGCAGGCCAAATGGAATGTTCCTTCTCAATATACATGCATAGATCAAACTAAACAAAAGGTGTCAGCTAGCTAGCTCATGAGAATTATTAATTATATTAGTATTATATATCTATTTCTGATTCGACTTATACTTTTTGATCCAAAATAAAAGAATAAAATTCTCGCTTCCCCAAGAGAGTGACACAATCTCAAATTTGACCAAATATATATGAAACCTATTACTCCTCCATTCTAAATTATAAGTTGTTATGTTTTAATTTCTAGATACAAAGCTTTTATTATGCACATAGATTTACGCTATGGCTAGATATATATAGTAAAAACTATGTATCCAAAAAAGTTAGAACAACTTAAATTTGAAACAAGCATTGTTCACCTAAACGGTCATTGTCGATGCGGGACCCACGGGATATCCCGCAAGGAAGAGAGAAGATCTAGTCTAACTAAGATTCTTTCCATGTAATCTTAGTAGTAGTATTATTCTGTAATCCTACTAGGAACTCTCATTGTAAACCGACTAGGACTCTAGCCTCCTGACTATATAAAGGAGGGCGGGGTTCCTGGAGAAAGGGAACGCACACTTGACAATCAATCCAACGCAAAGGCCAACGCCAACTGGACGTAGGGCTATTACTCGATCACAATTGAGGGTCCGAACCAGAATAAATCGACTGTCTCTTGTGTTTACCGTTGAGTTCTGCATACGCTGAAGCCCGAACAAACTGCCCCGGGTACCCCCGTGACAGGCTATTGATGGTGAAATATCGACAGCTGACGCGCCAGGTAGGGGCTTTCGACGAATTTGCATCCGAGAGCTCGACAGACCTCGACGACAAGATCTTCTCGACAGGATCAACCTTCATCTTCGGTTCATGGATCTACGAGGCGGACGACAACGGCAAGCTTCAAGGCCATCTCCTCGAAGATTCAGATCACCATGAAGACCTCGCTATTCCGGCGACTACGACAGATCAACTCGCAGGAAGATTCGCGCAGCTCGTGATGTCCGATCCAACTCAGATTTCGCGGCTTTGCGCATCCGACTCAAACTCAGGCTCCGCATCAGAGATGGAGTCTTACCCGAGTTCTTTCGAGAAACCAAGTTCTTTTTCGACAGGGTTCCAGAACGCGGCCTCGGCCTATCAAGAATACAACTCGGAGTACACTCAGAGTCCTTTCAAGAAGTCGGGTCCTTTTCTGTTCGGACTCCACAACATGGCAAAATCTTATCAGGCACGGCTCGAATGATCCCTCAATCCGGTGCTTAGAATGCCACTGAAAGGAGCTCAGGAAGGTCTCGTACTAACTATAACATCTCAAGACTGCATCGTCCACTGGCCAGGTTCTGTTCCTGAGGATAGCGGTACCCGACTAGTCGTCACGACGACAACAGCAATTCTACCCTACCAAGAAGGAGACTCGATCTGCGACCTTGAAGCCTCTACTAAAGTTATCAACAACTACGACAGTGCGGAAACCGACGCCGATAACAGAACAATTCACGCACGAGAAGTATTCATGGTTCGCCGTCCTCGATCACCTTTGGTCCCCCTAGAAGCACCCGACATCAGGTCATCGGATGAATCTGAGTCCAACATATCACCCTTTGCCCAGGGCCATGATGGTGAGACCGAGAATCAGAAGCAAGCCAGAGAAAGAAGAAACAAATTGAAATAAGGACACCAACGCCGTGCTAGGCATTGCAAGGAAGCTTGGATCAGATATGAGTCAGATCTGGCCGAGTACAATAGAAGAAAATCAGAACAAGAAGTCGATGAAAGACGCGCAGCAAATACACCCTACAATAGGATCCAAGAAGCACTAGAAGAACTCGGAGCGACCTCACATCCCAGTGAAAAACAGGAACAGCTCCGGGACCTTCTCTGGTCAGCAGCCCTAAGGACGCACGACGGAAGGACCCGCTCAAGACTACCTGCCAGGTCAACATCTCATAAGCAGGAAGATCAAAATCAAAGGAGATCCGCTTTCGATAGACTTGGACCAAGTGGAAGTCACAACAGAGAAAGTAGAAGGGACCATAGCCAAAACTACCGAGTCAAACAATCAAGAGAGATCAGAAGCAAAGTACCTATTCAGACAGCCTCGCAGAACTACTCTCACCAAGACAACAGTTGGCTAGAAGGAGGTGCTGAATCAGAATACAAAGAAGCCAGAACGCACGATAGATTCCCCTGTTTTGCAAACAGACTTGCTTCAATATGACTACCTCACAAGTTCAAGCCGTCCAACCACTCTAAATATGATGGCAAGACCGAACCAAGGCAGTGGCTTAGGATTTACTCGCAATCGATTGAACTAGCTGGAGGAGACGACGATATCAAGACCTTGTTTTTTCTAGTGGCCCTAGAAACCATGCCCCTCCAATGGTTCGACAAATTGAATCCAGGGTCAATCAGAAATTGAGAAGACTTGCAAAGAGTTTTCTATGAAAATTTCGCAGGTATCATTACGCACCCCATCACCCACGCAGAATTAAAAGGACTCAAGCAAAAAGGGGGCGATAGTCTCAGAAATTACTATCGACGATTTGGCAAACTACGTGCTCAAGTACATGACATCACTAAACGAGAAGTAATCGAAGCTTTCTCTCACGGAATCATGGCTAGGTGGCAATTTCAGGACTTCTATAAAGAAAATCCAAGAAACAATGAAGAATTCAGACGCACAATAGAAAAGATGATTACTGCAGAGGAGAAGACACGAGAAAGGTTCCCGGATAGAAACAATCGAGACAACCCAGACAAGCAAAATCATCGAAACATCAGACATCAGGAAAGGAAACGTAAACCAGACAACACCATAGCGGTGGCTGACAAATCAAGGAAGTTTTCCAAACCCAGAAGATATGACGACATTGAAAACATGTATTGCATCTGGCACCCTAAAGGAAATCACACCATCGAAAATTGCTACACCTTCAATGATCGATACATAAGAAAAGATAGTAAGGGAAACACTAAAGAAGACAATCAAAAAAAAGATAAAGACAACCACGAAGACAAGGGATTTCAAAAATCCAGGGGGACAGTAGCAGTGATCTTCGCCGGGGCCCAAAATTCTAGAAGCAAACATCAAGAAAAGCTAGCTCTACGAACCATCATGGCAGCAGAACCGGCTACTCCAAGATATCTCAATTGGTCACAGTATCTAATCCAGTTTTCA